TTTCTGGGGTACTGAGTGTATATTAATGAGGAAAAAATAAATTTGAATGATTGTAGTACCAGGCTGCAACACAGCAAAATTGAAAAAAGTGAAGGTCTGAATACTTTCCGAATGCATTGTATCTCTTCACTCTCCAGAACCAATAAATCCTTAATTTACATACTGTTTTGAAGTAGTATGAAATACTAGAGTTGAACACATGAGATGGTGCTATATATATGTTTGTGTGTGTGTGAGTGAGAGAGAGACACAGAGAGAAAACGTATTAAATTCAGCTCACCCCCCAAAAGCAGAAATAAACCACAAAGTCCATGCTAAGATTTTGGAAACAAAAAATAAGTGTTTACATTTGCTGAGATTCTGAGACGGATACAGGTGGCCCTCATTTAACAACCACTTGTTCAGCGACCATTCAAACTTACAACAGCACTAAACAAGTAGTAGTTACAACCGGTTCTCGTACTTATAGTCATCACAGCATCCCACAGTCATGTGATTGCGATTTGCGACCTTCCCTGCCAGCTTCCAACAATCAAAATCAATGGGGAAGTAAGCAGGAATTCGCAAGTTGCAGTCACATGGTTTTTTTGACCACTTAATTGCTTAATGACAGTTTATCCCAATTAGCATTGTTAAAAGAGGACTACCTGTAATTAATAAGATAACATGCCACCAATTTTAAATACAAATGTTTCAGTTCCAGAAAAATGAAAAATGATCTTGGAAATACCATCACAATTTGTCGTAATGCTAAGGTATAATATTTTTGTCCCTGTGAATGTTTTAAACTAATGCCTCACTAAGAACTTCTGAAGTTTTTTTTTCTTTTTAATTTGAAAATCTAATGAGCAGTTTGGAATTTTGACATTCACTTTCAAATATGCATCCAGAGGAAAATGATATACATATCATGGTCCCAAATCTACTTGGTTAATTCAGGTGCACCTGAAATTATATGCATGTGCTTTTCTTCTAATTAATACTAAGATTGTGTAGTCCTTTGGGTTCAACCTCCAAAAACGGCTTCAGAAGCATGAATATTGTACCTTTCTGCAACACCCTAGCAGCTATGCCTTTTCCTAGGACTGCACAGCTGCCCACCAAAGCAACTGCATGACTCTGGGGAAAGACACAGCTGCTTTAAAGTGTTGCAGAGTGTCATATAAACACTCTGAAATGCTTCCTTGAAATCAAATCTAAACCACTGCACAATCATTTTCAATAATACCAATACATGCCCTTCTTTCTAACCATTTCATGAAGTCTAAATATTAAGATTTATACCCCAACCCAAAGATCCACAAACTAGACTGTATATTTATCAGAAAAGTTAAAACAAAGGGAAAGGTTTGGTTTGAGCAATTGGAAAGGTGCTACAGGAACATGAAAATAAGTGTAAAAAGGAAATTCAAGCTTAAATTGAACTTACCTTTTAATATGTGAAATGTTATATATAATTATGTATTCACTAAAGAAAGTTTTTTGCTAGATTTAATCATTTAATATCTGATTTAAGGCTTTTAAGTATCTAAATTTGTGACTGGAGGAAATTATTTAAAACTTCTGTTTAAGTACTACAAAGTATGCTTTAGTTATTAAGTATAAGTAATTTATACTTAGAAACAGAAAAAACACACAAACCGCAATAAATGCTACTTACTTCTGAATTAGATTGCTTTGTCCATCTTATATGAGGTAGCACTGGATTCTGTTGAAAATAAACCTGCAAGGAGATTTAAAACACTGAAGCATTAAACAATCAAGCATTAAACAATCAAAATCTCTGTTCTCACTAAATTTGAAGCTTTGTTGTTAATTAGAAATACAAACCAATATAAATTTATAAGTCACTATTAATCAGTTCTTTTGAATATAATGTGATAGATATCAAATTATTTTACAGATGTTCTGGAACCCCAGTTAAAATCTAAGAGCTAATCTAATTTTGTACAAGATTCCACACATAAACAGAGAAACACCTTGCCTTTGGTCCCAGGCAGCACCAATTATCAAAATTACGACAAGACTCTGGAAACACCCCATCACCAATATAACCTAGATAGGGAAGAGACTATCAAATACCACCATTATGGAGGCAGACAAGTTTCCACATTTTGTGCTATCTAAACAGGGTAGCAAAAAGAGGTTTTAATAGCAAATCTTTGTAGACCAAAGTCTTATACACTCAAACAACTTGCTAGGAGATACAATGCTGCAATGCAACAAATATTAGCTAAACTACAAACAGGAAGATGCTTCTTTTCTATGAGTCTACAGCTGCTCAGCAACTATGTCCTAAACACATATTTCAGACATGTGTTCATATTTAATCATGACCATCTTCTCAAGAAAGAGGGATCGTTGTGCAACAGATTTTCAATCTCTGCAAGCTGCTCTACAGCTCACGAATATATCTAGAAGGTGCAGAAAGGGCTAGTGGAAAATAGAGTGTAAGGGAAAAAGCGGTTGTACCAGCAGAAAACTTCCTAAAAAACAATAGCTTCAATCTTTCAGATTAATAAAATTGTTTCTATGTTAACATTACCATTACATCCCAGGTGGTAGTCTTGGCGTAGAAAGCTTACAGTCATAACTTCCTTAACAGCCACACTGGAATGTCAGGTTCAACTGAGTTAAGAAAAATTTGCACCCTCTCATACATCCGGTTTCAATGTCAATAATTTGCCTTATTAAACCTGTTTCTCAGGTTAGACGTTACAGGACATTGTTTTAATATGTCATAGTATAAATATATGTGTATGGAAAAATTGCAAGCAGGGAGCAAAAAGGCATAAAATTTGTTTTCTATTTGAAAACTTGCCAAGGATTGTAACATGTGAATATGAACACTTTATTTCTGAACACCAACATTATTTAAATCTAAAATATAACAGAAATTCAACTTGAATTCAGTGTGATTTCAAATATTCATGCATCAATCAAGCTGTATATTTAAGTATGCAATTTAATATTAAATGTCGCTCTGAGGAAGAAAAGTTGCAATAGTAGTGTAAGCAAGCAACCTCAGTGCGCTTAAGTCTACCAAAATATGAGTATTTGGATCAATACTTACAAAATCCAAGAGTACTGCACAGATTGGCATCAACCTTCCACAATTAGTTTTCCAGTTTTGCTTCCCTTGAAATATCCTGAGTTCCTTAATGATACTACATCTGTAGCAAAGAACAGCTGACTCTACAAAATCAGCTACCCATTCTTCACATGTAAGGACTCTGCAAAGTTATTTCTTGAAGTCAGACAAGTCTGATTTTAGTAGCTTGTTTTCTGAAGTTTCTTCACTTTCCTATTCCATATATTTCTCACTATAATGAGCATCAGCTCTAGAAAAAATAAATACCTCTTTTATGGCATAAAGAAGAGAACAAATTCCACATCTGAAATGAGGTACATTTCTAAGAGTTAATTCAGGCATCTGCACACAGCAGCTATCTCAATATTTCCATATTGCTTCTTTACATAAAAAGCAAATGCAAATGAAAAATAAAGTTCATTGTCTTCATTTAGGAAACAGGGTTCATTACAAGCAGCAATACCAATCCTCCTAAAAAATTTAAATAATAGTAGTTGCCATCAACTATAAGCAAAAAAGAAAAGAAAATTAGAAGCCCCAGTTAATATAATCTTCCAAATATAGTTGACAAAATGAGTCAGTCTGTCTTTCCTGAATTTTGTGAACTGAAAAATAAAAGTGAGTTTTGAAAGCAATATGCAGAGCCTAAAAAGTTTATATAATTATCCATTCCATATGGGCAAAAATTAGTCCAAGGTGTCTTCAATGAGAAGGGGAAATTTTTCAAAAGTTCATTAGCTTTTTTGGACTAGGTTCTGAAGACTTCAGAAAAAAGTGAAGCAGAAAGTGACTGAACAGATCGATTCCATGGCAGTAAATATTGTCCTTTCAACTGAAGAAGTGTTTCCTCGTTTAAGCGGAGGCGACGCAAAACAATTAGGCTGACGTTCAAAACTACAGAATCACCTAGAAAAGGGAGAAAAAAGACAAAAGAGAGAGACAAAAGACCCTGTAGTCAGTTTTCCTTTCTAACTAACATCGAGAAGAGATGCATTATTAAATATTATCCAAACCATTCCCCTACCTGTGAACAAGAAAGGTCTAGGCGCACAAACACTGATCATGCGTGCTGAAATCAGCAGCAAAGGAGGTCGGGGAGAATCTCCCACACGGTGAAAGAGTCGTGGTTACAAACGCAGCACCATGGGAGGAAGGCCACAGGAAAACCGGAAGGATAAGGCTTTGGATTAAGTTCCTTGACCCAACGAAGTACAGAACCAGAGCGAACAATAGGAAGATCGGGGAAACCAAGAGGGGCCCACGGTGCGCGCTTCCCTGATAGGAAGCACCAGGGACCCTTCCCCCGCGAGCTTGCTTTCGAGGCGACGCGCAAAAGGCTCGGGTTGCAAGCCACTGGAGCAAGAGAAATAAAATCCCGAACAGGGGGAAGAGCGTCGGGAGAAAACGAGCCCGCCGCTTTCGCTCGCTGGACCCAGAAGAGCGCGCACGGTTTCCCCCTTCCCCCCCCCCGCCCATTTCGGACTCCGGTAAAGTAGGGCACAAGTCCTCGCTTCCTCACCTGGCTCCCTAAAATTTACGCTGAAGAGGAATTGCTAGTCGCCTTCCCCGCAAGCCCTTCTCGGACGTTCGTCTGAACGAAGCT